GCTGCCTCAGCTGTGGCTCCATGGAGGGGGGGGGGTCTCTGCTCCAGGGGCCTGGGATCCAAGCTCACTGTGAAAGTTGTTTTATTACCAGCTCAGGCGAAGTCCATTTCTGTGACTTTAGTGAACCTCTCATTCACTTCTTAGTGCAATTGGTGAAAATAAGACCAACGTCACGCCTCAGCTTCTTGCTCCCCTGGTGCAGGTTGTCTTTGTACTCATCAAATGGGCTTCAATCAGAAACCAACATCATCACTTTCTTTTTGCCAAAGAACATTCGGCTATGCTTCCAGGCATTTGAGGTCCTTCAGCGTGCTGTTTCTCATCTTGTATGTGTCCACACATTTCCAAAGCTCTTCAGTTAGGTTCTGTTACAGTTCCAAGCCTTTCTTGGCACTTTTGTTTAAGAAAACTTTTTTGTTGGCATCACATTGAAGACACATGTAGCAGAAAATGGTGATGCCTGTTATGATCCAACAGTGCGTGGTCTTCTGGGACGGTCTCCTAGTTAAAGCACACTTGAAGAGTGCTCAATATCCTCTGGATATAAAGAACAATAAATGTGTCTCAGAGAAATTGCAGCCATTAAGGCAAGGACAGCAAAGCTTTGTCTCACATGTTTGGGGTATGTTATTAGGAGAGGCTATTTGTGGGAGAGGGACATTGTGCTTGGAACAGGAGAGGGTCAGTGAAAGAGAAGACCCTCAATGAGATGGATTGTTAATGTCTGTGGCAGTAGGCTCAAGTGTGTCAGGGATGACAAGGATGGCACAAGATAGGACAGGGTTCAGATCTGCTGTTCTCTGGGTTACTATGAGACATATTTGACTCAATGGCACTTAACAACAACTACCTTGGGTGACTAGCAATTGAAAGCACAGCCTTCAGGAACCACTTTTGTATATTGTACAACTATATAATTAATGCACATGATTTGGGGTTTTGAGTGGTTTATGATATATACTTTCTAGAAAATGCTTTTATTTCAATAGTGTTCTTCCATATCAGTATATACAACAGTCTTTTTATCACTGTAATTGACATTTTCCTGTCTAGCTTGGATTATATATTGTTGTTATGTGGCATTGAGTCATCTGCCACTCAGCAACTCTATGCACAATACTTCTTAATCCTGTCCTATCCCCCTATCCTGAGCCAATCTCACCATTTCCAACACACCTACCCCCATTACCCCACTTACTGTGTCAATGCATCTCACCCAGGGTCTTCCTATCCTGCACTATCCCTCGACCCTTCCAAGCATGATGTCTTTCTCTAAGGACTGGTCCCTCCTGGCAACATACCCAAATTATGTGAGACAGAGCCTCAGAATCCTTGCCTCCAATGAGCAGTTTGGTTTCATTTTCTCTTCATCTTCATGTTCTCTTGGCAGTCCACTGTTTGAACATATATTCAGTACTCTTTTCCTTTGCCACAACTCAAAAGCATCGATTCTTCTTCTGTCATCTTTAAATCATTGTCCAGGTCTCTGATGCATAGCAAGCAATTATGAAGACCACGGCCTGGATCAGGTGCACTTTAGTCTCCAGACTGATATCATTGTTCTTCAGCACTCTAGAGAGGTCCCTGACAGTAGATTAACCTAATGCAGGAAAATTTATTTCCTGATCACTGGTGCCAAGAGTGTTTATTGTGGTTCTAGGCAAGGTGAAATTGTTAACAATCTCAATCTCTTCCCCGTCTACTATGGTGCTGCCAATAGGCCCAGTGGTGAGAATCTTTGTTTTCTTGATGTTGAGCTTCAAACCATACTGGAGAGTGCAGTCCTTGACCTTCTACAGCAAGGTCCTCCTCAGTTTCAGCAATCAAGGTTGTGTCATCTGCATAATGAAGGTTATGATGAATCTTCCTCCAACTCTGATGCCACATTCCTCCTCATACAGTCCAGCCTCCCAAATGATATGTTCTGCATATAGACCGAAAAGGTATGGAAACAGGATGCATCTCTCACATAATCTTCTCCTGATTTTGTACGAAGCACTGTTTCACTGCTCTGTTCTAATGACTGCTTCCTGGTCCAAGAATCGGTTTTGCATCAGCACAATCAGGTTCTCAGGGATTCCCATTCTTCTCGAGGCTAGCCACAATGCATTGTGAACCATGTAGCCAAACTGCCTTTACACAGTTAATGAAACACCTAGACATTCCTCTGGTACTCTCTGCTTTCAGCCAAGATCTATCTGACATTGGTGATGATGTCCCTACTGTCACAGCCTCTTATAAACCCAGCTTGTGCTTCTGGTAGTTCTCTGTCAATATGCTTTTCCAGTTGTTTCTGGATAATCTTCAGGAGGATTTTGCTTGCATGCAATATATTAGTGATACTGTGCGATAAAATTGGATTAATATAGTTATAAGCAATTATATTCCTTCTGTCTCCTCTGTAAGAGGCCTTAATCATCATGCAATGCTCCAATGAAGCATTATCTCAAACTATCACTCAGAAAAGTAGCTTTTCATAAAATAGTTTTATTAAATGACAGAATAGAAAGTTTCATATGATCCAACTTTTAACAGTTCTCAAGGTTGGTTGAACCTTATATTTATATCATTTTTCTGGGCGCCACATCCAGAAGTTGATTCTATTTTCCCTGATTAAAGCCTGGACAGTTTGTATTTTTTATAAATTGCATAGGTGATTCTAATATACAGCAAAAGCAGAAAGCTATTAATCTAGATATTACCGCCATTTCCTATACAGTTGTGGTTCCTGCAGGTATTCATGTAGCCTTGTCCAACTGTTTGGAATTACCCAACTACCTCTCCACTTCCCATATTTTGCCCTTATCTGAAAACTCCCCATCACTACCTGCTAATCAAGACACTGACCTTTAACTTTCCTAACATCCTCCTAATTTTTTATTGTTATTCTATTAACACATTTCCTCAGTTATTTCTTTTTAACTATAGAAAAGGCATATATTTGCTATCATCTTGTCAGGATGTCTTTTGTTTGAACACATGCCTGTCCTTGCTAAAACATTTAATCTTCCAGATACTTTCTCTCTTTCTTGTATTCTATTTATCTTCATGTTTAAGAAAAGAGAACTGTGGCCAAAAGATGCATTTCTGGTCTCCCGGGAGACCAGCTATATCACCCTAGATAAATTACTTAACATCTGGCTTCTCGTTTGTAAAATGCAGATGTCTGAGGTTCCTTCCACTGTGAGTCAAGCTCACTGTGAGAAAAGAGGCTCACACTGTTCTTCAAATGACATTGAAGACTATTTCCTTGTTTGAAAATAAAGGGGGAAAAGGGTAAGTAATAATTTAGACACTGAACACATAAAAGCTTAACAAACTTTTAATTAGTGAAACAAGATAAAATTATGATTAACCCAATGTACTTGGAAAAAGAAATATTATATGACAAGTATATTATTATAGATTTTCAATATTCCTATCAATCTTTAAAAGCATAGCACACAAACTTGAGTTTAATTATAAGTCTCAATATCTTACTACTCAATTTTGTGTGTAGAATGGAAGCAAAGCTTTTGAATCTTACCAAAAGATTCATGCTGAACTTGATAATTTCCTCCTCCCAGTCCATCTAGGTAAGATTACCTTTCCAAACCCCTTAAAGGCAGTTTTTAAAGAAAGATTATGTTGTTTAACACCCAAATGAAAAGTGTACATCATTATTTTTTTAAACTACAAAGAGTTAAGAATTATTGCATTGCAAATGAGACGTCTTCAAAGCCTAAAAAAAAAAAAAAAGTTTTTAAAAAAATGCACTTATTCTATTTGAATTACAAATATCACTACCAAATTTGTCTAACTTAACTTTGCTATATAAATCATCATTTGTAAAGAAAGCTGCAGGCAGTTTGTCCGGGTCCATTACAAAGAGCTGATCCCAGTGGTGCCCAATAACCTTAGAATACTGGTTTTAGATCTGGGCCCTGACTCTATAATTTGGTAACTGTGTGACTCTGTGCAGGTCAACTAAGACTCTCTGAGGTGCTTCCAAATCCATTTTCCTGTCTTGGAATATAACAGAATATTTGAAAGGATTTTCAGTACCAAGGTACCCTATGGAACAGAATTTCATTAAAAAGCTAGATAACCCACACCCTACCCCAGACTCCAACTGAAGATGCAGAATTCAAGTTTCTCTTCTCATGCTTCTGCTCCTTGCAGATACATCTTTATAGTACTTATCATTATATCATTATATCATTATAACAATGCTTCCATTTCTCTCCTTCCCTGGACTGGCTCCTCTATATGGCTAGCACAGTGCCCACAGCAAGGCTGAGCAAAACTGAGGATATGAAAGAAAAAAAAACAAATACCACCAAACTAAGGAAATGACACATATGCAGAGCCATGTCACTCCTATCGTTTGACTGAAGAATAAAGAACTGTTGTGCAAAGGAAAAGAGACCTGATGGTGTAGTTACATGTTACACTGATTACAGGTTACTGGTTATTTGGTTACATGTAACACTGTTAACCAAAAGATCAGTGGTTCAAAATCATCAGTTTCTCCATGGGAGAAAGATGAGAAGTCTCTTCCCATAAAGATTAACAGCCTCAAAAACCCAGCGGAGGCTCACTATGAATCGGAACCAACTTGACAGCAGTGGGATGCACAGGGAGAGGAGCAGTACATTTTCTGCAAGCTTTCATCTCAGCAGAAATATTTGGTGCGAAAATAGCTGAAGAAAAATCAAATCCCTAAAGGTTAACCAGCTGCTTCAGGCCTTCTCACATCCCACTGGTCCTCCTCCGCTCTTCCTTTAGAGGTCAGTGATACTGGCAGAGCCAAATCTGGGGATACATGCCTTTTTCATATTATTCTGCCAACGAAGGAAAGAAATGTGTGCATGCTCAGGATCTTTCTTTCTGGCTGAAAAGCTACTTCAATTAATGTCTCTCATACAGTGAGGATTACCATACTAGAGTTGTCTGTAGTTCACAGGAAAGTGAAATGGAAGTTTTCTCAAGGTCAGAAACTCACCTCTCCATGGTACTTGTTAGTTGTCTCGATCTATTTAAAAGAAAATTGAAAGAAAAAGGAAATTCCGTTTTACTTTAAAAATGTATTAACAGATAGCTAAAAATGTTTTAAAGACGGCTGTCAAGATAGCCTACTCTTTCTAACCATGAATACCTTTTTCAAAACCACCAGTAGGACCCAGTCTAGCACAGAGTACAGAAGAAGTCCAGGACTGCAGTGTGCTAAACTAGAAGGTCTTAAAGGCAAACATTCTGAGGTTGTCATTAGTCCTAAATATCTCTACCTGTGAGTCTGTCAGAGAATCCTGAGGGAGGCAGTAGGTAACAGAAGCTGGAGTATGTATGTGTGCATTTGTACAAAAGCTGTTGTTCCTTTGTTGTTCTCACTGCAGGATAAATACTGTGTCAAGAATCTGAAGAGGCCACTCAACAGAGGTATCTCTGCAGAAGACTCTCAGCAGATGCCACTAATAGGACACTGGATTCACATGATGTTACTGGTCCCTAATCAGACCTTTAATAACATTCTCTGGCAACCTTGTATGTTGTATAGAAACATAAAGGAATTCATACACTATTACACACGTCTATCCCTATCTGGAAAAAGAGAGAGAGAGTGCTCTGGTGACCTAGACCACAGAGTTTGCATTAATCCAAAGGCCATGCCTCTCTCAAGGTTTGAATCTACCAGAGGCTTCAGGGTAGAAACATGGGCAATGTCCTCTAGTGTGATTTGCAGCCTTGGAAACCCAATAGAGGGTCAGCTATGAGTGAATTCAGACTGTTCTTTCCAGCAATGAGTGAGAAAAAGATAGACAAAAATACATATAAAGCAACAAAGTAGCTTTGTGCCACAGCTATACTTAAATACTCAGATAAAATTGTCTGTCAGTAATTATGGAAAGAAACTGAAAACTTACCCCACTTAACTATCTTGGGTTCCTTGAGAGCAGAATGCTCCACACGGCAAGTGAATTCATCGTGATCGTTGGGGGTGAATTCAGTGTAGACCAGGAGGTAGAAAGACCAATCTTTGCTGAAAGCCAAGTCTGACCGTTCTACTTTCTCTGTGATTTTCTTGCCATTTTTGTAAAGGTCAATTGTAATCTGGGGTGGATGAAATCCAGATACATAGCAATTCAAGAAATTTGGCTTTCCATTCTCTGCTGGATGGCGAGAGTACACCTGAACCTTTGGAACACCTGAGAAAAACCAGAGAAACAAGTGAAAATTGCTAGAATACTGCACTTGGGTCGGACTTGTAGACTCCCCAGAGACAATCACCATCATCCGTTCTTTGTATCTCTTTTAGAAATTTTCTGTGTGCGGCATGCAATACTTTAGATATTTTTGTAATTGTTTTATAATTTTTTGGTTTCTTTTAAATGACATCCAGTCACACATAAATATCAATAATGGTGATACTTTTTTATATATTATGCTTTATTTTGTAAATAAGTTATGGTTAAATTAAACATCTTCTCCTCATAACCAAAAAATGATGCATTGCGAGGGTTTGGGGGAGGGGGCTGGAGTAGGGTTAAAATCCAAAGCCTGGTGCTTCTTGTGGTTGGATGCCACCAGGTTGACTCTGAACACTCTTCAACCCTATGACCAACAGATGGAAACCTTGCCCCATCTTGTATCATCTTCAGCCCCCCATTGTTACAGTCACTGTGTCAATCCTTATCACTGAAGTGTTTCTCTCTTTCATTGAACCTCAACTTTTCCAAGTGTACCGTCTTTCCAAGAACTGTCGCCTCCTCACAACATGGCCAAAATATGTGAGAAGTTTCATAACCCTTACTTCCAAGCAAATCTGCTGTCAAAGCCCTCTTTAAAGTGCTAAAGAGTAAGGATGTCAGCTTAAGGACAAAGGTGCATGTGGCCCAAGCTTTAAATGCATGCTTAAGTTGGATAATGAATAAGGAAGACTAAATGAAAAATGAAGGCTTTGAATGTGATAGTGAAGAGTGTTGGATTTATCACTGGCTACCAAAAGAACAAACAAAAAGGGAGCTCTGGTGGCCTAGTGGCAAGAAGCTGCACTGCAATCTCAGAGGTATGAGGTTCAAATCCACAGATGCTCTGCTGGAGAAGGAGGGGCCATCTCCTCCTGTACCTGTCAGATCTGATTTGACGGTACACACACAAAATAATAATAAAATAAAATAAATAAAAAAAGAACAAACAAATCTTTTAGAAGTGCTGGTTCTTAGGGGTACAAAAGGGCTTCCTAGGGTGTCCTTGACAGCACTTGACAGTCACCATCTTTAATTACCCTTATCACTGGTTTTACAACCTCCCTGACTTGAAAAATCCTCACTTTTTCAAAACTGAAAGTGGAAGCAACAGTTCATCTTGGAAAGAACCAGGCAAGGAGCCAAAGAGCCTTCTGTGAAGAAAAGACCACAGGGGTCCAAGGCTGCCTGGCTGCTCTCTAGAATCTATCGAGGGAAGATAGAGAAGTGTATTTGTGAGAAAAGCAGGAATTATAGCCAAATGGAAAACTCTGGCAAAGCCTTTGCAAACTTCCCCATCAGCCGCGACTTCAATCCCAGTTGTTTGCCATTTATCTATCCTCTGTGTGACTGAGTCACTTAAAACCCCCTAAGCCTCAGTTTCCTCATCTATGGACGCGATGGTAATCACAGTAATGTGTCCTAGGTGCAAAAGCAGAATGAAATGGAATAAAGCACTTAGTGAGCCTTCAATCACGGCTAGCTTGTCACTGTTATTATTAGATGAAAAGGGAACAAATGAGTTAATGATGTGAAAGTACTTTTAAACAGCACAAAACACTGCATAAATGTCGTTTCCTCTTCAAGGCTTGACCTTCTCTTAAGAGACGGAGTTTGGGTGGCGCCCGGAGGAAGCCTGCAGACCTCCGGGGAAAGGAGAAGGCAGAAGATGGAGAGGGGCTGACACAAGCAGTGCCTCTGAAACCCCAGTCACATGTCTGTCCGCACTCACAACCCCTAACTCCGCACATCTGGAACAAGTCTAAGAACCCTGGCTGCATTCTCATCCGAGGAGCCAAGGCCTCTAGGAAAAGTGAAAGAGAAACCCTCCCTGTCTTAGCCACTACAACTGCCCAGATCAATACCCCAAAACTTTGGTCCTAACCTGCCCAGAGCTAACCTCCTTCTTGGAAACAAAGGGGTATGGGGGAAGCATGCGTGGCAGTAGAGAAAGGAAGATGAGGAAGGGTCACTTACGGTCGGCGGCATCCAGGCAGGGCAGAGAGAGCAGCCCCAACAGGGCCAGCGCCACGAGGGAGGAGGACATGGTGCAGCAGCCTCTGAACGTGAACTGCCGGCCTGGGGCCCGCGCGCCTACTTATAGCCGACCTGCAAACAGCCAATCAGGACGCGGACCGCCCGGGTGTCAGCTGTCTCCAAGCGCCCAGAGCCCGGTCAGGTTAGACAGAAGGGACTTCCCCATTTTCAGTTTCCTTTTTCTTACAAAGTCTCGTGATATACAAGAATGGTTGGGTGGATTTGCTCCCTGGAATCTGGAATGCGCACTCCAGGATGGGTTACAAATCCCTCTAACTAGGGCCTTCAAGCTAGAAGCAACATTTTTTTAGCGCCCTCACTTTGCTAACTGGCCCTAGAGATTGAAGTGAACATACTTTGCTTTGATGGCCCAGCCGGTTAGTGGCCTAAAACCTGTGGGTTTATTCGAGGAAATGGAAGCCCAGAAGGGGCAAGACTGTGAACAAAGGCTGAACAGTACTGTACTGAACCAGAACATCAGCTCAGAACTACATGCAATCTGGGAATGCAGTATTAAGCTTCTTAGGTTCCTGGGAGAGAAAATAGTCTCAAAGACCTTAAGGAGTCAGAGAAGCATCCAAAATGAACAGGAAAGTTGGGGCTTCCCTAATCTTACCAAGAAAAAAAAAATCATTTTTGTAAAGCTTTGGGCTAAGGCGTTCTTCCCTGTGTATTCCTCTGTTTTTTAAGAAAGTCTTTTTGTACTATTGATTGATGGAGAAAAAACACCCTGGGAGGCCTTGGAAGAGAGGAAGACCTTCAACCAGATGGATCTAGAGAGTGCCTGCACCAGTGAGCTCGGGTATGTCAGAAATGATGAGGTGGCGCAGGATAGGACGGCGTTCAGATCTGTTATTCACAGGGTTGCAATGAGGCTTTCTCGACTCCGTGGCGCCTAACAACAATACTCAAAAGAAGGCGCTCTAATGGCGAAGAAACGCATTGAGCAGCTAACCAAAAGGTCAACAGTCTGATTATACCAAGAGTTCAAAGGGAGGCAGATAGACAGTGTCCGTTTTAAAGATTTTAAAGTTGGAAACATGATGGGTCGCGGTTAGAGCCCACTTGCCTGTGGTAGATTTGGTAGTAAAAGGAGTTCTAGAAGCACAGTGGATTAAGCATTTAATTGTACCAGAGAGACTGCGTGCTTAGAGTAGCAGTCCTGGAAACCTATGGGGCAGTTCTACTCTGATCTACAGGGCCACAATGCATCAAAATCAACTGGAGGCATTGGGTTATAAATTCAAACAAATTATACAAGTTGTTATGCAGTATTAAATAATAAATAAGAAGGAGGGGAAACCCCAAACCACTACCAGAGTGAAACTGTCCCATCAAGTCTTAGGCTGGTAGCACAACACTTAGCCTACTGCAAAAGCCAGTGCACCTTGGTTAGTCGGTTAGTGCAGTCGGTTAGTGCTCGTTACTGTTTAGCTTTAGAGTTTACAGTCTCCTTTCATAATATTCTCATATCATTAGCCACACTACAACAGTGCTTGATTGGCAATAGGTACTTGGTAAGTGGACTGAATGAATAATGGAATGGCTAAGCTTTATGAGAGATGACATATATCATCTATTTTATAGACAGAGAAAGCAAAGTCTAAATGGCTAGGATTAAAACGACCCTGATTCTATTGGTGTTCATGCTTTATCCATTTGGAAGATAAAGAGTGTGGCAGTTTTGATTTGGTGATTTGTTTTGGATTGCGTATGTTGTGGGAGGGAGGAAGTGAATCTCTATGATTATAAAAGCATGACTATGAAAAATAAACTCACTAAAAACCCCTACTTTAGAGATATCATAAAGGCCAAAGAGGAGGAGGCAGTCGTCAAAGGCTTGGGGGTTTTTTGGTTTGTATGTGAGTGGAGCAGTGAAAAGAAGAAGTGGTCCACAGGAGGAAAGCACAGCAGGAGAGGAACGTTGTGTGGAGGGGCAAAGATGGAAATCACCAGGATTTTCCATTAAAGTTGGTTGGGTGTGCATCCCCAATGAGGGCAATAAATCTTTACGGTTTTTAAAATTTATTCTTAGACTGTTTTTTTAAAAAATTCCTTTCTTCTCCATTCCTTTCGTCAGTAGCATATGTCCTGTTCCAGATTTTTAATTGCAATACACCTCCTTGCTTACACTTTTTACAATAATTCCTATTGTAGAAGCAACATCTCTAGAGAATGCAAAATCTTCTCCACAGATCTAAAGAAATGTTATATACAGAGATAGACACAGTGCCTGTTGTTGTGTTATTGTTAATGTTTACTAACAACACTATAATTATTAATGTTATTTACTAAGCTTTTCTACTAAGTGTACCTGTAACTTTGAAATATAAAAATTGCTACACATAACATTATCAAGTAAGATTTCTGTGTCTTTATTCTGTTTTAAAAGTTCAATTAAGTGTTAGTGGGATTGTGAAATGGTACAACCACTCTGGAAGGCAGTTTGGCTCTTCCTCAAAAAGTTGTACATAGATATTCCATATGACCCAGCTGTTGCACTGCTTAGAATATACCCCAAGAAAATGATAACTGAGGCACAAATGGAGACTTACCCTCCAATGCTCATTGTAGCATTATTTGCCATCACAAGAATGTGGAAACAGCCCAAATGTCCGACCACAATTGAATGGATTGAGAGATTGTGGTACATTCACATGATGGAATACCATGCATCATGCAGGAGCAATGATTTTGTAAATTTTTACCTAACTTGGGAGGGACTAAAGAGCATTACGCTGAGTGAACTAACTCAGTTCCATAAGGACAAATACTGTATAAGAGTATTATTGTAGAAGGAGTATGAGGATCCAAGGTGGGGGAGGGTGGAAGCAGAGAGGTAAGGATGGGTGGGGGGCTCTGGGGGGATGCTTAGTCATAGGGTAGCACAAATTGATGGGTAGAGGGGGTTGTGAAGGAAATGGGAACGATCCAGTGTGAAAAATAATGTATTCAAACTTTGTAAATAAACCAATATATATTAAAAAATTAAATTAAGACTCATAGGTCCTGAAATGCTAGTTTTAATGTGTTTTTAAGTACCCTGAAACCACAGGGATAGATAGGGCTTTATTTTGCCTTTAAATTCCTTGTTTTAAGTGGAGAAAAGATTGAAGTTGTCAATTATTTCCATTTACTAGGATTCACTAGCAACACCATGGAAGCAGTTGTTGTTATATGCCATCAAGTTGCTTGCAATTCATAGCGACCCTATGTACAACAGCACTAAACTCTGCTCTGTCCTGTGCCAATTGCACTGTCTCTGACACACCCATCTCAATTACCCCAGTCACTGAATCAATCCACCTCATAGAGGGCCTTCCCCTCCTGCACTATCCGTCCACCCTACCAAGCATGATGTCCCTCCTCAGGGACCTGTCCCTCCTTACAACATGTCCAAAGTATGTTAGACGAAGGTTCAGAATCCTTGCCTCCAAGGAGCTGCCTGGTTTAACCCTTTCAAGGATGAATTTGTTTGTTTTCCTGACAGTCCATGGTACATTCAATATTCTCCAGCACCACAGCTCAAAGGCATCAATTCTCCATCTAACCTCCCTAGTCATTGTCCAACTCTCTGATGCATAACAAGTGATTGCAAAGACCATGGCCTGTATCAGACTCACCTTAGTCTCCAGAGAAACACCATTGTTCTTCAGAACTTTGGAGAGGTCCCTAACAGCAGACTTTCCCATCGCAATACGTCTTTTAATTTCCTGGCTACTGGTGCCAAGAGTGTTGATTGTGGAGCCAAGCAAACTAAAGCTGTGAACAATCTTAATCTCTTCACCATCCATGCTGATGCTGCCAATTGGCCCAGTGGTGAGAATCTTTGTCTTCTTGACATTGAACCTCAATCCATATTGAAGGCTGCACTCCTTGACCCTCTGCAGGAAGCGCTTCAGGTCCTCCTCAGTTTCAGCACATTGGGTTGTGTCATCTGCATAACGCAGTAGTCAATAAATAAAATTATACGGTGGCCTAATGGTAAGAAGCTGTGCTGTATTACTGAAGGCATGCAATTCAAGGCCATTATGCGCTCTGCAAGGATGGGCAATCTCCTCCTGCATGATTAATTGCGTCTGAAAACCCACTAGGGAGTCAGCTGTGAGTCAGTTCCAACTCTACAATACACAACACAACACACACATTGAGTAAAGCTGCTGCAGAGGACCACTTTAAAGTGCTAAAGAGTAAGGATGCCACTTTGGAGACTAAGATGTGACAGACCAAAGCCATAGTATTTTCCATCATTTCATATGTGAAAATTAGATAATAAATAAAGAGAGCCAAAGAATTTATGCTTCTGAATTATACTTCTGGCAAAGAATATTGAATATACTATGAGATACCAAAAGAACAAACAAATATGTTTTTTAAGTTGCAGCCAGAATGTTCTTTAGAAGGAAGGATGATGGTAGAACTATGTCTCATATTTGGGGCATGTCATCAGGAGGAGCTCGTCCCTAGAGAAGTACAGTCATGCTTGAGAAAGTAGAATATTAGTGAAAAAGAAGAAGACTGGCGATGAGATAGATTGGCAAAGTAGCTGCAGTGATAGTCTAAGCACAGCAGGGGTGTAAGGATGGTGCAGAACCAGGCAGTTTCCCCCTATTGCACACAAGATCACTAAGACTCACAGTTACATTGACAGCACCCAAGAAACAAGAAATTTCTTGCTTTTTGCATCACAAAGGGGGGAAAACCCTTAAAACTTATAAAAGTAGAAAATCTACCTTTCAACTGATAAAATATTCACAGTTAATTAAAAAGCAGCAATAGCAGATACACTAAAGGCAAAGTAGTATATTTTCCATTTTCTTTATAAGAGAAGCACCTACATTTCTCTTGGATTTCCATTTCTGATATGTTGGACTAGTGAATAAAGATGAAATGTAAAACTATTTTCTTAAATAAAAGCACAATTTGTCTAAGGAAGCAAGTCCTGGAAATCTACCAGCATGGCAATTTAACACTGTTATCTCCCAGTAGTAGGATTAACAGATGATTTCT